GAACCTGCCATGACGGACACCTCTATAAGATGACCATCTGTACAAACGGCCACTTTCTGTTTCCCCCCTTGCGTTTTTTTTCTATATAATTTCACTGTAAAACGGCCACCTGTCCAACGCGGCCGCGGCCACCATATTTTAACACACAACCCCTATCACACCAAACAATAACACCTGTCTTTGACGGCCATCTTAGTGACTCCATTACGTTTTGCTGTAAATTATGCATTGGCCCCTGGTGTTGTGGGCGAACCATTATAATCCAATCACCTGTGGTTATTATTAGGTAGTCCCTCCTACTGATCATGCTGCGTTGGCCCCTCCCACTGTTGACCAATAGATAACAAATTTTCAGCTGCTGGTGAGGTAAGCCACGGTAAACGTGTGATCCCTCAGAACTCATAAACCCCGCCCAGAACTCATACACTTTATCGTAAGTGAGATGAGTGGTCACTGTTTACCCAGCCTGTAACAAAGTAACAATGGATATCAACAAGAACTTGTGACACAAGCGTCGCTCGTTCTCTGAGTCGTGGCGACCCGTGTTTTTGTTTTACCTTTGCACTCGATCTTCCTGGGCTGACACATTTTGTTTTATTGTCACCTTGCACAAAATCAGCAACAACAAAAAAAAGCAAACAAAAAACAACAACGAAAACAACAACAACAACAACAATGCGTCTACCTTCGGATGGGACCTCAGAAAGGAATACAGTAGTCTTTGCCTAAATGCACGCCATACAAAAGCATGCTCCGCTCAAACGCACGCTTTCGTCATCTGACGGGTTTTTTACTATATAATTTAGACGTACAAATGCACGGTCACTCTCTCTAAACACATGCTCCGATTCGCGAAATACGCCGACAAGTTAAGCTTGGCAAGGGGAAATTTTCACTACAACCTGCACAGCCTGCATAAGACAAGCCTAGAATTTACTAGAAAACCTGATATTTGGTGAGAGTGCCCCTCACGCCATACAAAGAGAGTGATGGACTACGTTTACACACCCTACTTTTCACTGACGCATAGGTCTCGATCTAGGGCTGGCCGGTTAAATGTTGGGCGGTTGGGGGGACTGAAATGTTTTTTGATTGGTCACTGGAAATGTATCTTTGAGAGAAGGTTTCTGACTGGTGTTTGAGTGACTGCGTGTAATGTTTAGTTAAATCTAGGCCTGATGCGCGACACGCGCGAATACCGTAAAACACTAGACAGGCCTTTATAGGATTTTAAAGGTTAGCAAAGTAAGCCTAATCAGCTGTACTCGAAGAACTTATAACGTGGTTGTTCAACGAATCACAAGAGAAAATGTTTCTCGGGGATGATTCTGCATGATTGAATTTACGGTCGGGGGTGGTCGCTTGGAAAGCCACGTGGCTGGTCCGTCGTCTCTATGACTATGACATACAGTTTCCTCTTAGGCTATCTGTTCCCGACGTTTACAGTGCATATTCATTACAAATTATATTGAGTTTGTCTTTCTCCCCCCCCCCCCCTTCCATTCAACACCTTTGTATTCTTAATCCCTGTCGGGGAATCCTTCACAAAACAGTCACGTGTCGTCATATTATCTGCCAAAATGACCCTCTCCCTCCAAGGGAGGTCACTAGAGTAATAAGGAATTGAGATGACTGCGTCCCTTCCTCCCCTTGCTAAGGTTCATGTAAACGCACACTCCGTATAAACACACGTTAAGGAGCCCTCCCGAGCACCGTGCGTTTAGGTGGAGACTACTGTAGTTTGTTTTCTTCATCTTGATCAGTCCTGATTAAGACGGCCACCTGTCTTATCAATCACTTTTCTCCTTGACAATGGTTGGCCGTCTTACACTGGTTCGACTGTACATTATCCTGATCTTTCCCTCTCACCCATCTGTTTAGGCTGGGTCTACCCCAGCCTTGTTGCTCTTAATTTTGCCAGTGAGAACTAGATATTCAAGGCCTTAATGTCTACTCAAGTGACCCTGAAACTGTATTTGTCTTCTCCTGATTTGTTTTTATCAGCAAGTATAATAATATGCTCAATTATTTGTCACAGATGGTTCGTAATGTAATCAGAGTCTACTGGGGTTCTGGAGGCTCTGATTTTTTCCCCCTAATCTTCGATTTGTAGGGAGAATCCTGAAGAAAACTCTTCTTTGTAATCGAGGGATTGGTTGGTCTGGCTTTCAGTGGCAGTCCTGAGCCTGTGGCAGTCCTGAGCCTGTGGCCACCTGGTTGGGACCCATGAAAGGAATAATTTTTCCCCTTCATTTTCATTTTTTTCATTTGACCTGTCTAATGTGACCACTTTTTTCCTCGAAAATGAGCGGTCATCTTGGACAAGTTCGGCTGTAAGCAGGTATTGCTTCAAATTGATGGAAAGGTTAAAATTTTACTGATTCAAGAATCTAGTGAAAAAGTATGTTTTCACTTAATTACATTTTAGGACTCTGGGGGACCCCCCACACCCCCATAACTTTTTGAAGTCTCCAAAGTTTGTTTGAATAGTAGTCCAAGTTTGGAGTACACTTACAGTTCTTCATAAATGGTTGCATGAAGAAGATTACGAAAAGAATTTGCTGGACACCATCAGAAATGTAGTACCATGGAGGAAAACCCAACAACAACCAATTGAAAGGGAAATCGTGAAAAGAAGATACCGGTGGATTGTGTGCTTTGGAAGCCAGTCCACAATGTGATAAGACAAAGCCTGAGATGGAAACCCCAGGGGAAGAGGAAGAGAGGAAGGCTAAAATCCACCTTTGAAGGAGATCTGGAGGCTGATCTCAGGCATATTGGGCCCAGCAAGCTGGTGGTAGAGAAGAGATAGGTAGAGATCTCTTTTAGCAGCCTACAGCCAATACTTGTAAAACCAGGGTAAAAGAGACAGATGACGATGAGGAACAGAACAACATAAACATTTTAGCTATTGTTTGAATCGCCATGATGACCACACGGATGTACACTCTTTAATTTTGCTTTTTTCACTAATCTTTGGGAGCCTATTATCTGTTGTTTTCATATCATCAATCGCTACTCTTTTCTGCAAACTTACTCAATGTGTCAATCTGAAAACCTTGATTTATTAGACATTTTCTTTGAAATTCTTGTTAAAAAATGATGTAGTGTTTCAAATCTATTTATAATGGAGAATATCAAAAACTCTACATCGAGAGTAAATTGTCATCATTTTTAGTTTGTAGTAAAACATTAGAGAATAGTAAATTCTCTTTCAAGATAGGTCAGATTGAATATAAAATAAATGAAAAATAGACATTTGGAAGTTGAGACAAAAAAAAATTCTTCACAGGAAAAAGCTCTTTAAAGGAGACTGAAAAGAGGGTGCTTTCGCTAACAGAGTTTTTGGATGGATTTCAGTGGGGCACCATTCAATTCCTACTGATTAACCTCCTAATTACCACTCTTGATTATTCTTAGTTGAACTATGAGTAGTAGGCAATCCTAGCTCATTGGGTTTTTTTTAACGTCTTAGATTAATGGATGGCAGAGCCAACTGAAATCCTCATAGTGACTGACTGACTTGCTTTGGTAGAGCTCCTGTGCATACTTAACATTCTGTGTTAGTGGGCATACAGTATGTAGTTTTTGCCATCAGCTAATCCATGGACAGCATTGCATTGCTTCTTCAGAACAATGTTATCATGTGTATCAATGAGCTGATGTCATTGAATGTGCTGTGTGATACAAAATAAAGAGAAAATATGAGAGCATCTTCTCTACGGCACTACCTTGCCTGCTCCCTCCCTCCTTTTATCACCTTCCAGCATGTCTCATTAAACTTTATATGCCAGTGTTTCTCTCTGAGACTTGAAAAGGGCCTCTTTGCTGTCACAATATTACTTCATGGTAAAGCAATTCATTATGAACAATGTCGTTCAACTGCTCACAACACTGCACTAATAATTGAATGATGTTATATTTTTAGGTTGAAAGAGTGCTGGGAGAGAAGTCATTACCATGATAGAAAGTGCTCATCCGTTATTACAGACCCTCCTTGGAACATTATTCACATGGGGCCTCACAGCTTTAGGAGCCGGCCTTGTGTTTGTTTTCCAGAGTGGGCAGGTAGGTTGACACTCATGCCGTTCAGCGTTTGTTATGATACGTAGTTTTATAATCATGAATAAATACAAAAGAAACCTGATATTATATATGTGAATCTGTAATACTGTAGACGTATAGTGATTAAACATTTTTTCTACTCTTGGTATGTGGTTTGAGGATGCCATTTGTAGGTTTTGCTTCTTTTCTTTCCCTTTGTTGTGTTTGTTTGCCTCTCTTGCCTTTCCCCTGCACTAATTGACTGTTTATGTGACAATGTGATCTTCTCTTATTCATAATAAACTTATTTCTACTTTTCACTGAAGTGAAGGTGTTCGAAAAAGCTTTTTGTGGTAAAAGAAGCGGAGGGGAAATAATGTAACTGTGAAGGGAGTTGAACAAATGGAAACATATGTTATCAGGATACACCTTAGAGTTGAGTTAATCCAAGTCCAGCCTTTCTCTGGGTATTGAGTGTTTATCATTGTTTGGCCTTGTGCTGTTAAATATGGTGATCCTATGTCATAATATCCTCTGTTTTTATATGTAAATGAATCTGTTTTCATATATATGGACTGACTTGCCCCTCCGTTCTTATTTCACAAACCTGTTTGCTCCTGTTGAAGACATTCTGTTGTTGTTTTTTCAGTCAACACTTTTTCAATGCTCTTTTTTCTCATGTTTCTAGCTCAGACTTACTTTGCTTTCTTTTCTTATTTGTTGAGTTGTTTCTACCTTTGTTTTATCTTTTTTTCTTTTTGATATGAATTTTTGAAGGCTGTGATTTTTCCATCTGGACAAGGACAGTGCTCTTTCCTTCCATTGTCATTATTTTCTTCTCCTTGCCTTACTCCTCCTTTCCTTTCTTCTTCATTCATCTTTCAATGTCCATTTATGTCCCCTTTTTCTTTTTTCTCTTTTGTTTTCTTCTCCTCTATTCATTTTGTTTATTCTCCATTCTTTTATTTATTTTCCTCCTTTGTTTCTTCTTCTGGCCTTTTGTTTTTTGTTTTGGTAAGTGTTTTACGGCGCTCGCAACTGCATAGGGTCATATGAGCGTGAGGAACAACCAAAACTTTTTAAGTTGGTAGGAAAATTGTGAATTTTGCCAGGTAGCGGCCGAAGCCTACTCTTATCGATTTTAGACCACCAAAGGATCTTTAAGGTGCTCAACCTGCACACGGGCCCTCCGAGATTTTTCGCCCTTGTCCGAAATGGCTAGGTATAGATCTTTCCTACCAGAAGATCAGGGGTGTGGCTGAAAGACAGCAGGAAGAAAGAGCCAAGGAGTAGCAGTAGAAAGGCTGCAGAAAGAGTCAGGAGCCCAGAGGAGAGGGCAAAGGAGGTGAGGAGGTGGGGGACAGAAAGAGGAGAGGAAAGCAGATGACAGAACATTGCAAGAAAGAAGGAAAGGAGGTGAAAGAAGAAAATTTTTTGGTCGCTACCCATATTTGAACCCGGGACCTTTGAATGAGAGGCCAACACCTTAACCTCTAGTCTAGGCCATGAGAGCCCCCCTTCTGGCCTTGATCATGGTTTTAAAAAGCACCCATAATGCAACCTCCAATTTGAAAAAAAAGCTAAAAATGTATAAAATTCAAGGCCTTGCACAGCGAAATGTAAGTCCATAACTATTTAACCTCATTGCACTCTCCTGGTAACACAGACACAATATTTGTGAAGGAAACAGCAGTACAGCCACAGATTATTTTTTGTTCAGAGCGGCCCTCACACTGCTCACGTTGGTCAGGCCTGCCCGAGCTGTCATCAATGTTTGTCCTTGATTCATTCTTTTGACAAAGCTGGTGGTGGTATTGATTTCTCTGTGCACCTATTCAAGCAAAGGAATGATATTTCCATAAGGGCAACAGCTGGCTCACTGGCTTAGATAGAAAAATGAGTGGGAAGTTTCTGTCCTCCTGTGTAGCAAGTCATAACTCTCTGTCTACATAGCTATGTCTTCTTCTTTACAATGGAGTCGGTAGCACATGAAGGTGATTCATTTATCATTAATCTGCTATTGACATGATAATTCCCACCTTACTCCCGTGCCTCTGGATGTTTACCAGAAGAAGACAGCAAATGGGGATGTTATTGTCTGCAGGTGTCACATAATCTGTAGTGATTAGCATTGTGTCTGTGCCCTTTTCTTAAGCTGTCTGTAGTTATTATATAAAGATGAAACGTGTCACTACTTGTCTTTTTTTTCGTTTTTTTGTCCATGTTGTATTCATTCTCATCCTTCTGAGGGTCAGTCCTGTCTTTATCCCCATCATCCTTTTGATTACTCTCTTCTTTATCCTCCTCCTTGTCAATTTTCTTACCTCTTTATTCTTTTCCTTCTCTTCCTTCATTCAGGGGTGCTACCACCCCCCCTCCCCCCAAAAAGAGAGAAAAAAGATTAAAACATGAGAAGACTTGAGGTAAGATAGGATAGGGTTTCTGGTGAAAACTGACGTTTTAAAAATCTCTTTCACGTAGTAAATGTATTTGAATTGATAATGAAGAGGCATCGGAGATGCTGATAGTTCAGTTGGTATCATGTCAGACTACGTTTTTCAAAGACCCTGGCTTGAATAACCAATGGGGCAGTCTTGAACTTGGGTTGTTTGGGAAGTTTTCAAAGCTCTCCATCCTCACGAACAGGTTCTATCAGAGATGAGTTATATATTCGAAGGTTCCACCTCTCAATTCTTATTGCCCTGGTCCCCTGTACCTAAGGACTCATGCACCTGAGTTCCCTCGAGTTATCTGCTAGATTTAAATCATCGCAGGCCAATGCAAGTGTTTGTTGCACAAACAGGAAGAGGTAGCTCACATTCAGTTGTTTGCTTAGGCCCATTTGGATTAATGACCTTGTACAGGTGTTATTGACCCGTACCGCACAATAGATCAGGCATCTTTGCACAAATTTGCGGTCAAAGCTCTACGAGGATTGTGGGATAGGTCATCTTTTTGTTTCAGTAATAATATTTTTTTCAAAACATTTTGGGAGAGTTTCTGTTATCCAAGACTAGTTTATGCGGAATTATTACCTTCATCAGACATGGCGCTTCTTCTATTTATTTCATTTCTCTCTTCCATCAACAGAGAAAAATTCTTGATGGCAGTCTGGGCTTTGCAGCTGGGGTGAGTAGTCATGACAAGATCACAAGTTTGAATTTTTTAGGTTTACTGTTGGATTTCACTGGCTTCTGGTGAGGCCGTAAGGTGTTTCACAGTCGCATGCAAAAGACTTGAGTTCGGTTCACATGTTGGGAGAATTTTTATAGAATATCTCCATCTTTCTACTCGAGTGCTGTATTTCCTTCAGTCCGTATTGGTCTTGGCAAGCAGGGTCAAAGCAGTAGGTCTGGATCCTGCTCGTCAAATTTGAGAGTGGCGATTCACGATTCAGTCGGCTTCAATGAATCGCGAGTATGCGAGCGCTCGTGGAGCTGTGGCGGAACACTGACTGAAATGGAACAGTGTCATATCAACGCCTCTTGGCGAGCGCGAGTCACACTCTTGTTGTTCCGCCATCCTCTCCGCCCCACACCCTTTGTTGCGCTGCTCTATCAACTGACCTCAATTAGTGACCCCCATAAATTCCCCCCCCCCCCCCCCCCCCGCAACATAGGGGGGTTGGACTATACCATCTTTTGTAAAATAAGGGGAGCCATACTAAGTGTTCCGTTCCGTTCTTGCGCTCGTGACTCGACTCAGCAGTAGGTTAAACAAGCCACAAGGTGGTGACAGCGACAGAGGAGTGAATCGGGAATCGTTTGGCGATACTGTTCCGCGTTCCGCTGAAGTGAATCGTGAATCGCGTTCCGCAGGCAAAAGTGGCGATTCAGTTCCGTTCTCGCGCTCGTGACCCAGCCATACAAAGCAGCCCACCTTCCAAATAATCTTAATTTCATTGTTTGAATTGTAAAACACCAACAATTATTTAAACAAATTATATAGTGGATTACGGAGTTCTCTTACTGACTTTTTAAATATGATTTTGCTTTTAGAAAAACTTAATGCCTGTTTTTGTATGAACTTATAGTGTGTGTTTGTGTCATTGTGTTGATAGGGTACGATGTTCTTATATTTTGTGTTGCAAAAGGTTTTGAAAGCCAGCAATTGTTACTGTTTTCCAGTGGTGGATCAAATAGAGTATATTTGATCCTCCACTATATACTTCGTGGGTGGTTGTTGGGTGCTCAGGTGTGGTTTGCTCCTTCTTTCCTTTAAACAAATCTATTGTCGTGGTCTCTCCTATTTCTTTTTTGTGTTTGTTACTCTCTTGTAACACCTCTAATCTTCGGCACTTATATGACCTTATTGTGTTGCAAGTGCCGTAAAACTCTTACTAAAACTAAAAGAGTATACTTCTTCCCTCTTATCTTGTCATTTCTTTACTCATGATTGTTTTTAGAAAATAACTTAAAATGTAGACTAGTACAGCACAAACACTATCAGTTGTAGTAAGTAACAGAAAGACATGTATTTTAATTAATCAGGAAAGAAATGGGTTCGTTTCTAATACTCAGCATTTAAAACAGACAGTGCTTGTCCTGAAGTTATCTGTTAGTAATGGAAGGGTTGAAGACATGGGCTGAGAAGAAAGCAGGCCAACCAAGATTTGCACTTTATTACTTTATTTATTTTAAATAGGTTTTTAATTTGTATAGAAAGATACGTATGTTTATACTTGCATAGTTTTAGTGTGTTCAGCATTTTATATTTGTATGATGAAAGACTGCTCAGTTTGAGTCTAAAGATTCTGGGTGTAATTCCAGGATGTCAGCCAAGAAAATTTCTAAGGCCTGAAAGAATCTTAGAATTATGTGTACCGTATTATTTGTGTGACAGCATTAAAAATTCAGCTCTGGATCTTTTAGTTTTAAAGAAGATTTTACTTCCTTGCCAGTCTCTTCAAATTTTTTCTTTCATCAACATCAATCTTTCCCCTTCTGTTCATTAAGCTGGTGATAAATTTGGTCAACTCTATGATGTGCAGATTGGATTTCAAGTAGGGTCCAGATCTTTCTGTCGATATTTTGCTTATTCTGAAAATGGTTCCACTGGTCTGTATTCTGCCAAAGACTTTGCACTGCTAGATGGTTCATTCATCTGTTAAAGATACTTAAAAACTGTACTAAGAAATAGCGGTGGTGACATCTTTATTATTGCTCATTTATTGTTATATCTGATAAGTGACATATCTCGCGTACAGAACATAAGCACAAAGATTTTTTAGATTGAAATAAGTCATTCGTTTTCTTTTGCTTTGAAAGCCAACGACGTTGCTTTTTTTTTCTCGACGAAGTGTTTTTTTTTCTAAAATAGAGACGCAGCTATCTTGAAATACAATTTTAAATTCTATCCAATCAGTGTCTAATAATGCATTTAAACTCAACCTCAACAGCACTTTAGCGGGTTGGGGCTTAATGAGCATATTTGGTGCTCATTGTCTATACTCAGCTGTATATATATACAATACAGTGCATCATCTCTGCAATGCCCTGCTGTTGAAATTACCTGTTTATGTCTAGTAGGCAGTTTATGTTGTAAACCGTCCTTCCCCCCCCCCCCGAAAAAACAAACAACTTAAACAACTTGCAATGTCACGCTTTCAGGTGATGACAGCTGCCTCATACTGGTCTCTCTTGGCTCCAGCCATCGAAATGGCGGAAGGCTCCGGTTTGTATGGAAGTGAGGGACAGTGGGCTTTCGTTCCAGTTGCCATTGGGTTTACCCTTGGAGCTGTGTTTGTTTACGGAGCTGACGTCTTATTGCCCTCCAGTGTGAGTAAGAATGGCAAAATCAGGAACTATGAAAAAGATTTATGTCCCTTTATAACATAATCATATGAAAGGTATGTGTACATATAAACCCCTTTTTTGATAAGGATTGAAGCTGATGATTCTTTGACGACATGTTTACTTACAGATTTCCATTCTTGTGTGTATGTCCTCTTAGTTGCCATCAGTCACCACCAATGCAAAAGATTTAATTGTGTTTTAGTGCTTAACTGATTAATCTGTGTCAGTGGCACTTTAATACAAAAGCACATTTGTAAGTAGTGTTGCCTTTTAAACTTCATGTGTTTTATCTTTTGTCTCAGAGCGAAATGCTTGCAGCTAAAGAGATTTTAAAACAACAACAACAACAACAACATCTTTTGTCTTAAATGGGTTGGATCTGAAGGGAAAAGTACATATAGTATCTTAAGTTTATTATAAATGTTTTAGGCTCTCACTGACATAATTGAGATCAATGCAGAGTATTGTAGTTCATGAAGTACAAAAATTGGAGAAAAATTGTGATACCTTCCTGGGTAAAATGACGTCTCCTTTTTCTGAATTGATATAGCCTAGATATTGTGTTTTGCATATTCAAAAGTCCTTTCACATTAAATAATTAATCTCTTAGATTATTTTAGTTTTTTTGTTTAATAATATTTGCTGATTGCATTATGAAAAAAAATAGTGGGGATTGAGCAATGACAGAAGATTCACTGTAAAGTGTGTACTTACCAGTACGACATTCTGCCCTGTCCCAGTCACATAGACCCCCCCACCAGTCAGACAGATGTTTGGGTGACATAATTCTCTTACACTTTATTTTTTTTTGTATAGGGAAACATGCTGAATCCCTCCAGCAGTCTGGCTCTGAGTGTTGAAGACAGACCAAAGTATGAGGGTTCTGAGTCCATTCTCCTTACTGTCCAAGAGGATATGGTGGGGTCATCGGGCGCAAAACCTCGCTTGAATCAGGCAGACACAAGACAGAGGAGGACAGCAGGGTCTCCCTCAGCTTTGGATGCAAGATATCATGAAAAGAATGGCTTATCAAGTGCTCCGGCTCGACTGGAGAACTCGGATAGCAAGGCCGTGAGCTGGCGGAGGATACTGTTACTGATCATAGCAATCACAATACACAACATTCCAGGTGAGGCTGGGATGGGGAGTGATCAGCTTAGTTGGTACAGTAAAACCTCCATATAACATACTCCTTCCAGGCCGAAGATTTATAATGTCTCAGCTGTGGGTAGCATAAGCCCCAAAAAATGGCAGTGAAAGGGGAGGTTAGTGAGTAATATTTATTCACTTTATTAATCAACATACCTGTATGTGCTTATGTGTGTGTGGCAGAGAGAGAGAGAGAGAGAGAGAGAGAGAGAGAGAGAGAGAGAGAATAAGACAGGTTTGTTGGGGGAGGGGGGGAATCAGCAAGAACAATAATAATATAATGAATCATTTCACTCGGAAAACCGTTAGCAAAACATCACCATCATCTTAAAAACCCCCAGCAGGAACAACAAAATGAACAATGACAGAAACAAAAACAGAACTGTAGAAAAAAATAAAAACAAACCCTACAAAAAACATCATCTTTAGTCTCTATATCCCAAGAGCTGTGATCCA